TGATGCTGAATGCCTACGTGCGTCCTCACGTCGAATATGCAATCCAGGCCTGGCAACCCTGGTTAAAACGTGATCTTGCAGCGCTTGAGACCCCACAGCGCCGAGCAACAAAAATCGTCAAGGGCTTGCGCCACACTCCTTACCAGGAACGACTGGAGATACTCGGAGTGTTCAGCGGACGGTACCGGCGACTTCGTGGAGACCTCATACTAGTGTACCAGATATTGAGCGATCCCAGTCACGTATGCCGCCACCTCTTGAAGCTCAGCCCGAACACTAACCTTCGCGGTAACAGTTTAAAGCTGAGCCAACAGTACAGTCGTCTAGACTGTCGGAGAACCTATTTTTCCCTCCGGGTCTGCGGGCCCTGGAACGCCCTTCCAAACTCAGTAGTTTGTGCCCCCACATTAGATACGTTTAAAAAACGATTGGACGTCGCACTGAGCGCCCTGCGCTTTGTTTTATGAACGAAACCGCTTGTATATATTTAGGCTGACCAGCCTCTTTGGATTTATACCCCAAATTCACGGTCGTAAATCTGTGCGAACCGGTGAGTACTCCATTTTTATTTGCTACCATCACCAACGATAACAATTTCTTAGCCAGTTTTGCGTCGTACCACTTTATCCCCCTAAAACTGTTATACTTTTACCTTTTATCTCACTGACACTCCTTACTTCAACCACTTATGTGGTTTGCCAATTTGTTAGTATTTCTATTGCCAACCTGCGGGACTCGTTAAGTGTATGCTTTTTTACCCGTCATATACCATTGTTCCATTGATCCGTTGTTCACGCCCAGGTGAAATTAGCGGACAGTAACACGCAAACGGATTCAGTCGACCTAACACCCTATCCAGCAACTGATTGTGAGCTAGTTGGCGCTGAACAGTTGGAAAGAACCTTGCCAGGGAAACGTAAGCCGAGCAAGAAGAAGAAAACTGTAAACTTGCAAAATGCGGTAGTCTCGGAGTGTACAGTGGATCAGGTAAGCACGTCACTTGCAGTGCCTTCAGTACTGAGTCCTTCGGTGTCTCCTCCCCAAGACTCTTCGTACGCAGCTAGTGCATCCAAGCAACCAGCCACCCAGTCGCATGATTCTATGACTGTGGCGCGTAGAGTAGGCACCCCCCGCCGCAGTGACTCCTACACTGATAGCAGTGTCATCTTTAGGAATGTCACGGAGTCCACCGCAGCTCTTCCAAAGGAGCGAATGCTTGCTGACCTGCAATGGTTTAAGATTTGCATTTCTAAACTGCTACCGCCCGGGTTTCCTGGCGTAACTGTACGGAAACTCATTAGGCTTGGGTCTGTGCCGGTCGATGCTTCGGGCCTCAAACCCCGTTTACTGAGAGTGGTTCTTTCAACACCGGACTAGCGTAATACGCTTCTGCGTTTCGCTTTTAAACTCAAGGGTTCTGGGGTCAGTATGCAACCTGACCTCCCATTGACTGATAGGTTGAAATTGAAGGCCGCCATAAAGGACCTCAAAGCCCGTCGCGAGGCGGGTGAAACTGGTCTTCGATTGGTGGGTTTTCGGGTGGTGAGCCGGAGGTCTACTTCCGCCCTTTCAGAGCCCGTTCTGGTGGCACCCGATCCCCGGCTCACGATCCCAATTTGCTTAAAGTAGTCCTCAGCAACGTGCGTAGTCTGAGGAACAAGATGTGCGAGATTGGCACTCTTGTAGAAAGTTCCCGGCCAGACGTACTCGCTTTCACTGAGACGTGGCTGTTCTCCGATATCCTGGACAGTGAAATGTGTATGCCTGGTTATACCCTTCTGCGAGCTGATCGCGCCTCATGCTGTCGCGGAGGCGGAGTTGCTTTGTACGTCAAATCCACCTTGACTATTTCACGAACATATTCTTTCAGTTCCCCTGATGTAACTGCCGAGGCGCTTGCGGTAGATGTTTGCGCTTCTTTCACGCAATTCAAAATTGTGTTAGTATACAGAAGCCCCGAAAGTACGTCAAGCAGGCTCATTGATTTCATTCGTACTCATACGACAAATAGATGTCTTGTTATGGGTGATTTTAATGTTCCTGAGGTGGATTGGCGCAATTTCTGCACTGCGGCGACTGGACGTTTTTCAAATGATCTCCTTGACCTATCCTTACAAGCATCCCTTCATCAGTTTGTACAAAGCCCAACTAGGTTCATGGAGGGCCAAAAGCCTTCCATTTTAGACCACATCTTTGCGAAATCGCTGGACTTTGTACGAGATGTAGTGTATGCTGCTCCCTTGGGCTCTAGTGATCACGTCTGCCTCTTATTCAAATGCGCCTTAAGTCGGAGACGTGAAGAGTGTATGGTCAGAAGGCCAAATATCTGGCGTGCTGATTTTCAAGCCATCAGGGCCAAGGTTGCAAATCAACTCTGTATCATGTCAGAGGATGACACCGTCCAGGTTGCTTGGGACAAGTTCAAATCCTTTCTTTGCGAGATTTCCCTCCCCCACATTCCAATCTCAGCGAGGAATAAAGTAGGGGCAAAGCCCCTTGGTTTGACTCTGAGGCGCGCAGGATGCTCAGTAGGCGATCCAGGTGTTGGAGGACTTACGTATCAGCTCCCTCAGAAAGTACCCATCATCGCTACCGAAGCGTGCGAAATGCATGTAAGCAACATCTGCGGGCCGCACGCTTGAGATATGAACTAGCGCTAGCTCGATCTGCATCAACAAACCCGAAACGGTTCTTTGGCTATGTCAAACGGAGATGCAATGTAGATCCGCCTATCCCTGTGCTCTTTGGACCTGACGGCACTGAAGTATCAACCGATCAGGCCAAGGCCTGCTTACTTGCAGAACAGTATGCTAGGTCGTTTGTTCATGAATCTCCATTGCCTAATATCCAATTGCAAGCAAAGATACCCTTAGACTCCTTTCTGATGGACCTTTCCATCTCGGAAGCTCAGGTACTCAAGCTCCTGCGTGACCTAAATCCCACAAAAGCTGCCGGGATAGATTCCCTCCATCCCAAACTTTTGTACGAGCTGGCTGGATTGCTTTGTAAACCGATTAAGTGTATCTTTGAGAAGTCTCTTCGTAGCTGCTCCCTACCTGCTGACTGGAGAGATGCTATCGTGTGCCCTATTTTCAAAAAGGGTGATAAGCACTTACCTGAAAATTATAGACCGGTTAGCCTAACAAGCGTACTGGTGAAAGTATTAGAGAAGCTTGTAAGAGATGCTCTGGAAAAGCACTTAGCTAAGTTCAGTTTGCTCAACCCGTCTCAACATGGTTTCCGCAGAGGCCACTCCTGTTTGACTAACATGTTGGTAGCCCGAGAGTGCTGGGCTGAGGCTGTGGACCAAGGACAGGCGGTGGATGTTTTGTTCATCGAATTTTCTAAAGCCTTTGACACTGTACCGCATTGCCGTCTTTTGTTTAAACTAGAATCCTACGGCGTTTCAGGCCAAGTATTGAAGTGGATTTCGGCTTTCCTGGAAGGAAGGCAGATGAGCGTCCGAGTGGGTACCGGGCTGTCTTTCGGACAAGCCGTTCTGAGTGGTGTTCCTCAAGGGTCGGTTCTCGGACCTCTACTGTTTGCATTGTATGTCAATGACCTCCCTGAGAAGCTTAAGGTACCATCTCTTATGTTTGCGGATGACTTAAAATTTTGGAATACAGTGAGCGGTTCTGTTGGGCCCACGGCTTTACAGACAGCTCTGGACAAGCTTTGGGAGTGGTCAGAATTGTGGCAGCTGCCAGTCAATCTTGCAAAGTGTTCGGTCCTGCGCATAGGATCAAGCACTCCCACAACTTCTTACGTACTTGGCGGAAATGTATTGCGTCAAGTGACTGAACAAACTGACTTGGGTATCTCGTTATCCTCTGACTTCAAATCCAGCGAGAACTGGACAAATGCTACCTGTAAGGGTTTCCGAATGCTGTGGATGATCCGCAGGTCATTCGGCATTATAACAAATGAAATGTTCGTTATATTGTTCTCAGCCTTCGTCAGGCCATACTTGGAGTACTGCGCGCAGGCCTGTCCTCCATGCTTGGTACGCGATAAGATGACACTTGAACGAGTTCTGAGGGTTGGTACGAAAATGGTACAAGGATTGAGGCATCTCTCGTATCCCGATAGGCTGCTCAGGTTGCAGATGTTTTCGCTGCACTATAGGCGCCTTCGGGGAGACCTGATTCTTACGTACCGTATATTGACCAACAAGATTGGGCCTGATCTAACTGGACTGTTCCAGCCGGCTCAGATGTCATCTCTTCGTGGTCACCCTCTGAAGTTGCATAAGCCTAGATCTGATCACGTTAGAGCTGACGTTCGGTTGTCACGCAGGGTCATCGACTCATGGAACGCACTACCCAGCGAAGTAGTGTTAGCACCAACAGTGAAGGAGTTTGAACATCGACTCGACGCCCTTGGGTTACAGTTTCAGACCTCTCCGTTTAGTTCTTAACTTTTACATCTATTTCCTTGGCTCCTCACATCTATTACTATTATTGTCTTAACCACACATTCTCTCCTGTACTACAATTACCATTAGTTTGTTTTTGTTGGTTCCCTTCTCTTAACCTTTATTCTATTCACGTGGCCGGTACAGTGGGGACTGCTAGTGCAGGCCGCGTGGGCATTGATTGGTTGACCGTTATGTGATTCGTGTGTATTGATTTGGCTACGCTCGGCTCCAAACCGCTCCAGCGAACTCCATCCTGGTTCAACGACGCATTGAAGAAGGAACACACATGGGAATTCTCCTACCGTTCCTGTCCAAATTGAACTTGAACTTGAACTTGCCCTTAGTGGCGAAAGTTAACCAAAAAAGCCGCGTCGCTTTGTCGCCATTTAAAACAATGCGTAGTATGGGAGCAAATCGTACCTGTGGCATTAAATTTCACTTGCTTGCTTTTGAAGTCAGCATACAATAACAGTGTATTTACGCCTTATTCAGGCGATGATCACCGTTTTGGCTGGTGTACCCAAACGCAACGTCCCCGTACCGGCACTTTTCCTTACGACAACAACTTTTACCTTTCACTGTAATGTCCAAGAAAAAGAGTGAGCCCCCCAAGAAGGGCGTGCTTTTGGGGAGGTTGGGTACCAATCTCAAGTGTGGTATTGTGGGACTTCCGAACGTTGGGTAAATCCCCATGCGTACAAATTGTTTTCTTTCAGGAAATCTAGTTTCTTTAACGTCCTTACTAAGAGTCACGCGGCCGCTGAAAACTTTCCGTTCTGCACCATTAATCCTAACGAAAGTACTCGGTTTTTATCTTACTTTTGCCTGAGGCCGTGTTTCTGTACCTGATGATCGTTTCGAATGGCTTTGCGAGTATCACAGCCCATTGAGGTAAGCTATTAAGATCTGGGGAGGATGACTCGTGAGTGTTGTTCGTATTCCGTCTATATATCGGCCATCCTCTGTTTACTTTAAATCGTAAAGCTTGGCAGAATATTTCGACACTTTTCATCAGGGGCCCATTTCGGTATGTTAGGTTATTAAGGCAAAGCCACCGTAGTTATTATACCGCCTCACGTCGATTGTCTGGTGGACCGGGTGCTGGCGGACGTATTTGTCGGCTTCATCAGGAAGGGCTTTTCGGAGTTTCGAGAAGCACGGAGTGTCTGCAGACAACACCTACACGCTGCTCTGCTCTATGAAATGGATTCGATCGATCCGGCTTCTGTACATCCAAAACGCTTCTCCTTTATCAAAAAGAAGTACTGGTCTAAGGTCACTCGCACTGTTGTTTTTTTCCGATAGCGCTGCTGCTAACAGGGATCATGCTGTGATCTATCTGCTTGCGAAACAGTATTCGATGGCATCTGTTAGGAAACAAGTTCGAGTGGGACCAGAACAATAGGAAAATCCCGGAAATATTCCACCTTCGCAAAGGTCGTTGGTCCAACTGGGAAACCGGTGCGTTGACGTGCCAAAGGAGGACCAAGTCAACACACGATACACATGATCAACCAAACAATGCTCACGTGCCCTGCACTAACATTCCCTGCTGTGCCGGCCACGTGAAGATTAAAAAGAACCAGTAGTGTCAGTAACGGAAAGGAAACAGAGATGACAAGCTTCTCCAATTTCCTAGGCAAAGGAGTTAAAGGGGCATAGGCCGTAGTAGACGAACAAAAGTTTAAGATATGAAACGAAAGACTTTAAATTGCAGACCAAGAGCGTCAAGTCGACGCTCGAACTCTTTCACCCTCGGTGCCATCACAACGTCTGCAGGCAGTGCCTTCCAATAAGCTATGACCCTTGGCGATAGCCGAAAAGCTGCCCAAACCCGGTCAGACCGGGGTTTGTGTAACTTCAATGGGTGACTACGTAGGGTTGGCGCTGGAGTTGGTCGAAACAGTCTAGTCAACTCAGGACCAATCTGCCCCATTGGTTTACGATATGTGAGGACCAAGTCGCCTGTAATACATAGAAAACATCCAACTTACGTAGCCTCTCCGGGTACGTCAGCTTCTTTAATCCGTCCCGGATCTCAGGACTCGTTCAACTGTCATCTTATCACGAACCAGGTATGGAGGACAAGGCTGAACGCAGTATTCCAAGTGCGGCCTTACAGAAGCCAAAAATAGTCTAACGAACATTTCGGTGGTCATGATCCCTAATGACCTGCGGATCATCCACATGTTGAAACCTTTGCGAGCAGGTCGTCCAGTGTTCACCGGACTTAAAGTCGGATGACAGAAAAACACCGAGGTCAGATTGGTGTTGAGCACGGGATACCTCGTTGCCTCCAAGCAAATAACGCGTCGGTGCGTCATTCGGACCAACGTCTAAAAATGAACATTTCGCTAAATTACCGGGCAACTACCATAAAAGGGCCCAGTCCCAAAGTCTATTCACAGCCCTCTGGATGGTCAGTGGACCAATCGGATCATGTATCGTGAACCAGAGTTTCAAGTCATCCGCAAACATTAGGGGTGGCACACCCAATTCATCGGGTAGATCATTAACGTATAAAGTAAAGAGGAGGGGACCAAGGATTGAACCTTGTGGAACGCCACTGAGAACACATTGGCGGAAGGACAGGCTTGGACTCACCCGCACACATTTCCCTTCCGATTAGGAAAGCTGAAATCCATCGTAAGACTGATCAAGAAATACCGTAGGGCTTGCGGCCCATTGATTTTGTGATGGGAGTTTCGTCTGACTGCTGACGGATGTTTCTGTTACAGCAACTCAGGAGTTCCTGCTACTGGGGAATTAAGTCCTACTGAAGAGAATCATGCAGGCGCTGTTCACCTCATGTTTTATTAGTTCCCAACTGAGCTTTGTAAGCCGATTAAGCTTTGTTTTGGATGTCCCTTCTCTATTGCTTTCTAATTGGAAAGGAACAATAGAATGGTAACAAACATCATGAGAGCTACAGATCGGCTAATTTGACTAATATACTGGTCAGATTACTGGAAAAGCTAGTAAGAGATGCCCTGGAATCTCACGTGAGGACATTCGACTTGCTCTGTTCGTCTCAGCATGGCTTTCGTAAAAGCTGCTGCTTCCTTACCAACTTGTTGTATGCTCGGGAATACTTGGGTGACGCGTTGAATTGAAACCAGGCGGTACATGTGCTTTTCCTTGGCTTTGCCAATGCATTTGACAATGTCTCATATTCCCCAACTGTTGTGAAAGCTGCGGTTATATGCTATTTTCGGACAAGCACTACAATTGATGGTGGCAATACCAGAGTGTAGCGGAATGTGGGCTCGAGCCTCTTCTCTCGACAGTTGGTTCTCAATGGTGTTCCGCGGGGTTTCCGTCTTCGGTCTACCGTTGTTCACCTTATATCTTAATGACCTACTTGAGGAGCTGTGGGTGTCGTCTCATGTTTGCAAATGACCTTAAGTTCTGAGTCACGAATGACTCCGTTTCTGCAGCGTGCGCTTGACAGACTCCGGGATTAGTCCACTTTGTGGTAAATACCCATAAATCTTTCCAAGTGCTTAGTTTTGCGCCTTGGAAACACTGGTCAGGTCAGGTACCACGGAGGATAGAGGCTTTCGCCCAACGAACCTCTTGTCTCTCGTGCCGGTAAGTCAACAACAACCCCTGGCACTTCGACAGATTGACTCTTCTTGCTTCTGCAAAAGAATGAAGCCAGAACAAGAGCAATCTTGGTACTCTCATGTGTCAGCATCAGAATGCACTACATATTCCAGTATAATTACAATATCTCTGGATAAAGGTCAGACCAACACTTATCTAAGGCCCTTTTGAAGGCCTTTACGATCTCACATTTTACTAGATCAGAAAGATGTTTATTCCAGATGTTAACTACTCGGTTTGTAAAAAAAATTCGCCGTAATGTCCTAACGAGCCATATGTTGTTTGAGCTTTAGGCGATGTCCGCGCAAGTGGTCCGAGGTAGCTAACTCAAACCGATGGGTGGAATTGATACCACTGAGCCCCTGAATAGTCCTAAACGTTTCTATCAAATCCCCTCGCCATCTGCGCCGTTCCAAGGAAAATAATCCTGAGCCACTTAGACGATCTTCGTACGACTTCCCTCGTTGAGCTTTGACCATCCTTGTCGTAAGTTTCTGAATCTTTTCTATACACAGCGTCACTACGAAGTTACGGTGCCCGGGCATGAACACAGTACTCCAAATGTGACTTCACCACAGCTTTATATAACAACAAGAGTACTTCCGCTTTAATGTTACTCAGCGCTCTCCTGAGGCGAAACAACTTGTTACGCTTTATTGGCAACATGGCGACATTGTGCCGAAGGCTTAAAAATGTTCACTATGATGACATCTAAATAACGGGCTCCATCTGTTTCGTAAACGCTTTACATTTTACGGAGTAACGAAATACCACGCGTATCCCAACAGGTCGACAGGTGTCACGCTGTCATTAAACCTAAGTCTATCGCTAATTGGACAAAGGCTGCTTACAAGAGGTGTACAGTACTGTGGATGATCTGCAGATCATTTGGTATCCTAACAGGCGAAATGTTTGTTAAAATCTAGATGGCTTCCAACAAACGCAGCTTAGAGTACTGCACCCAAGCTTACCCCCTTGTTTAGTGCGGAAGTAGATGGCTGTGATGCGAGTTTTGAGGATTGGCACCAAGATAGTGCGTAGGCTAACACTTGCACCGCATCCTGCGAAATTGCTCAAGCCGGGTCCTTTTCCCCTGCACTATCGCTGTCACCGAGGCTACCCGATCCTTACCTGTGGCATTTTTTGGGTCAGATTGTTCCGGACTTATCTCACTTCTGCTTCCGACTCTTGGTGTGCATCCAAGAAAGCTGCACAAACCTCAATCCGATCGGGTTATGACTGATGTCCAGTTATCACGTAGGGCGTTGGACTCTATGGGCGCTCTGACCTAGGAAGTATTGCCACCGACCGTTAAGGCATTTGAACACCGACCTAACGCTTTCGGTTTACAGCTAACAACTCTTCCCCTTCACATCTGAGCCTTTATTACAATTTTTCATTTTTATTTCTTATCTTGGTTCCCGGTGTTTATTTTACGTTGCCTGTTGTTTATTTCAGGTTTTTCTTTCGGTTTTGTTTTATTTCTATTTCACTTGAACGACAACCGGGACTGCTAATGTACGACACGTGGGCATTGGTTGCTTGACCGCAGTGTGACGCGCGCATTGTTTGTACACCCTCAGGAGACAAATCTACTTGCCTTAACCTGCCCTGGACCAACGACGCTTTCACACTTGCACATTATCTTATTGTTACTGTCCCATTCGAACTTGTACCCTGCCATGATGCTCATTCCATCGCAATGAGGTTGGACCTTACCGTGGTGCGATGGTTTGTGTGCCTCAGCGACTCCCTCGACGTGCATTGTTTGCTCACCGGGGATGTGGGTGGAAGAAGAGGAGAGGTGGCCAAGCGATGACTTGGTCCAGGGGAATGAAGTCCCTCACCTCGGAGTTGGCCTCGGTTGGAGTGTCACGGCTCCCTGGTTGAGGTCCAAGAGACGGTGAACACGTTTGGCTGGATGCACTTGCTGACATGGCAAGGAGCCGACCTCAGTGGCGTTTGTGCTGTGAGTTTCTTTGTCCCTCCCCATCCCTTTTAGCCTCCCCCTCCATCAACGATCTCATTTCGTAGGGTAAAACATAACTTTTTTTTTCTTTTTGCCTAGTAGCTGGCTGGAAGCTTACCGGAACGATGCCTATCCGTTGCTGGTAGCTCAGCTGGCATGCAACTGTTGTATCTATTTCTCCTTTGTGTATTGTATTGTATGTATGTATGTATTTCCTTCATGTATTGCGGCACAATAGCGGAGGTGTTTTCCCACCTCTAGCTGATGTGTGTAATGAATGAATGATGACATGATGCTCATTTGGTAAGGCGTGTAG